TATTATGAAAGAACCTAAATTAGACTGGCAGGACTTCCAAAATATGGTCTTTTAAATTAAAAACCATTTAATGCTATTCATCTAGATAGTATCCAAAAATACTCATTATGGACTTAGTAACTAAAAGAAGATGCTAAGACCACTGAAATAAACCAAGGATGTGATAATTACAATGCTTTTGTATTGTTTACGTAGGCATTCATGTTACCATGATGCCTCGCAGTCAGAATTCAATAAGATGTTGAATATAACTCTTTTAAAAACACTTTCTAATGTAGAAGACTAAGAATATATATACTCAAATCCATATTTTTATTTGCTGCATTTATTCCACTTCATCTATATCGTAAGTGTCTGTCTTCCATAATAGAAAATGGGCATTGTGGTCAGGTAATGCTTTCTCTATTACATCTAGAAAATCCCACATGTAATAGCAATACTTCAAGCAACCGGTCTTCTTTAGGAGCAGTAACTTCTAGTGAACCATGCTTTCTGTGTACCTGAGGGCCAAAGAGATTATCCTACTTTGATGTGGTTGGTTAAAATGTGTGAACAAACAATTTTCTAAAAGCATCAGTCCACTTACCTACCCCAAAATGGTAATGTGGACCAATGTGCCTCAGATGCTTAGAGGCCTTCCAAATCTTTGTTGAACCTTAGGGCACCTTGGAGTTATTTTACTATGGTTGAAGGCATATGATGTGGGATTGATTATAACTGACTTAAGACAATTACAATTGGAAGGATCGGATATTTTTATTGCCTTATTTGTTTGGTGTTCTGAATTCCTGATAGAATTCATATCCTGGCCAAATTCCATTTTATTTTCAAAGAGTAGTAATGAAACCAGTCCTAGCTAATGGAGGTTCTGGTTAGTTGGGTTTGGATAATTTTACTTTTGTAGGACCAGCTAATTATCATTATTACACACTACTGTACACTCAGCACCTAGAACAGTGTCTGGCTCATAGGATATTCTCAGTAAGTATTTGTTGACTGCTAATGGATGGATATATTGTTCATTTGTATTACTGAAGATAACAACACTAAGTTGTTTAATCAACATAATGAAATAAGCAAATCAAACATAATAAAATGAGCCTATGATTTTTCAAGCTTTTATTTCCTTCTTTTGGCTTACTGCTTTCATTTCAGTTTACATAAAAGAAGATATATACTTTACAAGTGAACCTTAACTTGGAGGAAATTTCAGAACAAGTCTCCTTTCTGGAAAGCACAAAGAATTTCTGGCTATATTTGAAAGTAGCCAGAGAGAGACTGCAATTCTCTCTTCCAGATCTTAAATATTTTGAGTCTTTTCTGGGGAAAAAAATGAGAAAGTTTGAAAATCTTTTATATCCACTGCCCTTCAAGCAAGTGGAACACAAGCTGAGGTTACTGATTTCTTTTTGTCACACGCTTTCACTGTAGAATGACAGCATGTACAATGTAGAAATTACATTTACCAATCACCAAAAAAGAACTTGGGGTTCTGGACTGATCTCTTTCAAGAAGGCTTGTAGCTATTTTGCTAATTTATTATTCAGAATAGGGCTACCGCATATGGGCTACCTCATATCTGCTTCTACCCTTTTTAGGATGGTAGTTACAAAGTTTATAAATGTTTGCAGCTCTCATTTGGAATACATTTCACAAAAGCATAATTCTTCTTCTAAAAATACTAATTGAAAGCCTAATATAGGGTTTAAGATCTGACTTCCTTTAATGCTCAATGGCCGACTATATTCTATGAGAGGCAGCTTCAGCTCTTTGAGGACCCCAGGGTGTCTTTTATTTTAGTTTGGGAAATTACTGCTGTATCCATTTAGCACCCGTGCTAAATGGTATTTTTAGAAGCACAAACAAGTTACTGCATCTCTCATGTTTCATAATATTCCATCCCTAAGAACCTTGAATGATGGAAGCACACATTTCCTTTGTAAAAAGCCCAACATTCTTTAGTGTAGTGTATCCCCTAAGTTTTTTTTTTTTTTTTGGCTATCTAGATAAAAGAGAAGCAAAAAACAAAATAAAACAAAACAAAACAGGAGGAGAACTCAGTATTTACTGGCCTTGTATCAAGTCTGAAATACTGCTAGCTTTCAGAACATCATGAGATTACCACCTTATCCAAGTTTCAGTTTGAAAATTAAAATGGTGAACAGCCTAATTTTCATTTGACCTGTGACAACAAAACCACTGGCACGCAGTTGAGAGTATCATATTTAGAGGAAACTTTCCTTAAGAAATGAACCTAAGAACTTAAAAAAACAAAAAGTTTTGATTGTGGGAACTAAGGAGAAATAGAGGCAAGGAAAAATTTTCCTCTACTCTTGTAGTGTCTTCATTGGGCCTAAGAATTAAACTGACATAGGTCAGATTAACAGGAGAAAAGCACATAAGTTTTTTTTTTTTTTAAAGATTTATTTATTTATGTTGAGAGAGTGAGAATGAGAGAGAGAGAGAGTACATGAGAGGGGGGAGGGTTAGAGGGAGAAGCAGGCTTCTCGCTGAGCAGGGAGCCCGATGTGGGACTCGATCCCGGGACTCCAGGATCATGACCTGAGCTGAAGGCAGTCGCTTAACCGACTGAGCCACCCAGGCGCCCAAAAGCACATAAGTTTTATTAAAATTTTTACATGCAGATGATAGCCCTCATAAGAGAATGAAGACCTGAAGGAGTGACCAGAGTAGAAAGCTTTTCTACCTTTTATTTTTTTTAATTAATTTTTTTTTTTTAAGATTTTTATTTGTCAGAGAGAGAAAGAGAGGGCACGAGAAGGGAGAGCTGCAGGCAGAGGGAGAAACAGTCTCCCCACTGAGCAAGGAGCCTGATGCAGGACTTGATTCCAGGACCCTGAGATCATGACCTGAGCTGAAGGCAGCCGCTTAACTGACTGAGCCACCCAGGCACCCCACTTTTTTTTACCTTTTAGATAAAGAGACAATACTTCTGTGAAGAACTGACAAGACAAAAGGGTTTGGGCTGGGGCAGTAAATTGTAGGGAAGTGACTGGGAAGATAGGATTAGTTTAACAAGGTTTGTTTGTACAGATTTCTTTCAGCCTTGACCCCTTATCTCTGAGGATGAGAATGTCTTCCCTCCTCTGGGGACAGGGAAGCCACCTTTCACATGGGAGTTTCCTGCTTTCAGGAAGAAAAAGGAGGATCAGAGCATCTTTCTTGCATCTGCTGTTTCTCAAGGGCCTTCAGCTCAAAATAATTTTTATGCCAAGGCATATTTTAGGATGTAAAATATTCTGGTTTCTTTCAGAAGTAATATCTTTTTAAATTAGGCTTGTTTTAGATGCAGTTGAGCATTTTTATGGTTTTCCCGTTAATATTAAGCAGAAGATTTGAAAAAGAAATAAAAATATCAAAATACAAGGACTAATATGAACTATGTTGAATCAGAATAAAGAAAATAATACAAATGAAAAATAACTATGTTGAAGTACGATAATGTTCATGACATAAAATGAGAAATCTATTGGGCCATTTGGACTGTACGAAAGTAGAAATGAGGAACAATTTCAGTCTTCTTAGGAGTTCTACTGTTTTCTTGAATAAATTAAAAAAGTAAGATCAAATGACTTCTGGAGCCATGTTACAGGCACTGTTCAGCATATCCAGACATTAGTGAGCAGTGTATTCTTACCTTCTAGATCAGAGGTTAAAACCATTTGCAGCACTTAAAAACAAAACTGAAGTCTGAAATAAACTTGCAGCATTTTTCACAAAATGTCTGGAAGTCCATCTGACAAACTGGTTAGGGTAGCCACAGGGCTTACAAGTGCAGGGCAAATTATTTTCCCTTTAAATCATTTCAGTAACTTTTTACATTAGCATGTAGTACATCTATTTTAGATATAGAACAAGTTGTTTTCCAAATCACCAGTTCTTGAAGTGTGAAATGAAGCCACCATCCAGGAAAATGCATTTTGATTTGGTAGGTTTTACCCAGCATGACTCACAAGTATATCCCAAATGTCTTATCTTCCCGAGATCCTTCAGTAACATGAGTGACATTTAAAAGAATTTAGCACAATCTATGTATAATGTATGACCAATTGTAGCACAGTAGATATTAAGAGCTTTCTGGAGTTGTAATATGAAGGTTGCCATACTTCAGAACAAGAAAAAAAAGTGCAAAATCATTCTATTTTCTCTAAATATTATTATGAAGTTATAAATGTGAATGAGAAGCAATTTGTGTCTGTGTGTGTGTATGTGTGTGTGTGTAGACAAATGTAGATGACCTATCAATGGTATCACTAAATTTTGTGTTAGGTGTATATTTGCCAGGTTGCTGTGCCACACGAAGGTGCATAATTATCATAAAACTGATTGGTCAGAAATTATTCCTCTTTCTTTACTTGTTCCTCCATTTATCATATTTTATGTGTTAGGGAAGAAGTGTTTATAGACGTCCTCATTGAAATGTTTCCAATTTATCTCTTAGAAGAAAAGTTTCTTTTTAACCTGTTTATTGAGATATAATTCAATATATACTTTACAAACTTGAAGTGTACAGCTCAATAATTTTTAGCCATTGCACAGAGTTGTGCAACTTCACCAAAATCAATTTTAAAACACTTTCGTCACCTCCAAAATTCACCCCTTAACTCCCATCTCTTCCAACTCTGGGCAAAACACCTACTTTCTGTCTCTATAGATTTGCCTATTTTGGACAATTTATATAACTGTAGTCAAACAATATGTGGTCTTTTGTGTCTGGCTTCTTTCACTCAGTATAATGTTTTCAAGGCTCCTCTACTTTGTAGCATGTATCGGTACTTCATTCTTTTTTTATGGCTGAATAATATTCCATTGTATGAATGCAGTACCTTTTATTTATCTATTCATCAGCTGACAGACATGAGGACAAGTTGTGTTTTTTAGTAGGAAGAAACTGTTAAAAAGTTAAAACTTCTATATTTCTTTAGCATAGAGGAAAACGTCTTTTGTCCTTATCACAGGTAGAGGTGTCACACCCAGCTATGAAGACCAGCATCCTGCTTATGTTCCTTTGGGGGTTGTCCTGTGCTCTTCCAGTAAGTATCAGGGTAGGGATATATGAAATAAACCTTTTATACCTAAAATTCCACAATGTTAATTGGCTATAAGCCAAGGTGCCTGTATAAGTTCTAGTCAGATGAAAACAGTAGTTTCTTAGGAAGCTGTTTTCTTTACAATATTATCCGAGGGGCACCTGGATGGTTAAGTCGTTAAGACAGTCGTTAAGCGTCTGCCTTCGGCTCAGGTCATGATCCCAGGGTCCTGGGATGGAGCCCTGCATTGGGTTCCCTGCTCCGCGGGAAGCCTGCTTCTCCCTCTCCCTCTCCCCCTGCTTGTGTTCCTTGCTGCTCTTGCTATCTCTCTCTCTGTCAAATAAATAAAATCTTTAAAAAAGATAAAATAAAATTATTCGAGTTATTCCTTATTCTGTTCAATCATATAGCTATGATTCTCATTTTTCTTCATCAGCAGTGGTTCTCAAAGTGTCATCCTCCAACCAGCAGCATCAGCATCAACTAGAATTTTGTTAGAAATGTAAATTCTTGGGTCCTACCTCAGACCTACTGAGCCGGACTCTCTAGGGATGGGGCAATCTGTGGTTTAAAAGGCCTCCAGCTGATTCTGATTCATGCTGAAATTTGACCATCACTGCTCCTACATATGTAAAGTGTTACTAGCTACTGCCTTGGAAATTTCTCTGTGAGGTAACCATGTGTACTACATTTTCTAGGTAGCCAGGTATCAAAATACTGAATCTGAGAGCTCTGAAGAATGGAAGGTGAGTAGAAACAAGGTTTTCTAAAAATATTTTTAATATATTATTAAATATATTAGCTCCACCACAAATATTGAAACTGCTAATGATTTAAGGAATACCTTAATATTACCTAAGATATAGGTAGTAAGGGCTATAATTTCTAGCTCATGTGAAAAAATTTAGTTCATATAATGCTTCAACTTCAACTTAGTAGTATAATTTAGTGAGGAGACTTTTTTTTCCCTTTAGCTTTATTTTCTAATGATGTCCGCAGTCGTAGAAGGGAAGGGATGACGGTGAACCAGGCTGCTTTTAAAGGATTGGGACTAGAAATCTGTTTACCAGGAGATGTCTGGCAGGCAGGAGGTCAAGTCCTGGAAAGTGAGAAAAGACAGAAGAACGAGAGGATACTAGAGTCTCTGGAATCATAGCTAATGTTGATTGAGTGTTAACTCTGAATAACCCGACAGTTACTAATTCTCAAGAACTCAAGAACCATTGCTAGGCTGTGTTACGTGCTTTACAAGAGAACACTGAGACACAGAGAGTACCCTAGTCTGTTTCGGCTACATGGTAAGTGTTAGAGCCAGACTTTAAACCTAGGTCACTCTGGCTGCAGGATCCACATTCTCTATTAGGGTTATATCCCTCTCAGGAAGGGGCCAAGTCTAGGAGGGCAACAGCTTCTCAAGGCTGAAACTACAAGGAAGGCTTAAAATCTTATGCTAGGTCAGAGTGTTTTGTTCATGACCTTGTTACCTGCTGGCTTTTGCATACAATGCAGCTTGGGCACAACATTATTAGCAGTTGCCAGATAATGTCAGAGGCTTGAGATGGGGTTCTGTCCCTGCCGGAGATTGGAATTGGCATTGCAGCATTTCTCAGATGAACTTTCACCAGAGATGTCCTTCAGCTGGTTAATTGAAAAGCAGCCACTATAGATCCTCTCTCTCTTTCAACCAAAGACTCTAATAGAACCACAAACATGTCAGGTTCTCAAGTCTGGATTTGGTATGAGAAAAATACCAATGTCTCGCTCCCTTCTAGCCCTTAATTCCAAATGATAACTGACAGAGTTCTCTCTGAGAGTCTGCCATTGTGCCTGACTGCAGTGTCACAGGGCAAAGACTAAGTGATCAGAGCTCCTTCCTCTGGGGAGATACCGCTGCCTCGCATGCTGAGAGGCTTGTTGAAGACACGCTGATAGCAGCTCCCCCCTGCTTTTCTCTGCACCTCAGGTCTTCACACTCATGGCCCAGCAGCTTTGAACCAAAAGGGATTTTGGGATCTTGCTGTGCTTCTGGGGAAGGGGGAGTATAGATGTGGAGAAGGCACCAGAGGTGGCACAGGCAATCTTAAGAGTTCTTATAAAATCAAAAAAAAGTGAAGTAAATCAGAACGATGCCTAATTAAGTTTCAGACTTAGTTATGTGTGTGTGTGTGTGTGTGTGTGTGTGTGTGATCTTATGTGATTCAAGAAAGGTTTAATGGCTTTCTCAATTCAGTTTTATCTACCACTGAATTTTATAATGTGATGTTCTCAAAATAGATTATTTCTTTAGTTTATATCATATTAAATAGTCCTCAAGGTGCTTCCAATTTCATCCTCACAGCAACTCTATGGAGTATGCACAGTGGTTGCTAATATTCTTTTTTTAAAAATTTTTTTATTGTTATGTTAATCACCATACATTACATCATTAGTTCTTGATGTAGTGTTCCATGATTCATTGTTTGTGCATAACACCCAGTGCTCCACGCAGAACGTGCCCTCTTTAATACCCATCACCAGGCTAACCCACCCCCCCACTCCCTCCCCTCTCGAACCCTCAGTTTGTTTTTCAGAGTCCATCGTCTCTCATGGTTCATCTCCCCCTCCAACTTACTCCCCTTCATTCTTCCCCTCCTGCTATCTTCTTCTTCTTCTTTTTTTTCTTAACATATATTGCATTATTTGTTTCAGAGGTACAGATCTGTGATTCAACAGTCTTGCACAGTTCACAGCGCTCACCATAGCACATACCCTCCCCAATGTCTATCACCCAGCCACCCCATCCCTCCCACCCCCCACCACTCCAGCAACCCTCAGTTTGTTTCCTGAGATTAAGAATTCCTCCTATCAGTGAGGTCATACGATACATGTCTTTCTCTGATTGACTTATTTCACTCTGGTTGCTAATATTCTTAATTTATGAATAAGAAATTGACATTGGAAAGGTGAAGTGAATTGCCCAGATTCACATAGAGTGACCAAACATCACAGTGTATCCAAGACTTAGGGGTTTCCTGGAACATGTGAATTTCAGCACTAAAACCAAGACAGTTGGTTTTCAGGGCTAAAACCAAAACCAAGGAGCTAATTGAGACTTAAATCTGATTTCTAAATTCCAATGCTGTTTTTTTTTTTCCTTATGTTACATTTTATCTAGGTTGTACAAACAACCAACTTCAAAGAAAGTATATTCTTCTCTAAGTGAATATCAGAAACACAACAATCTTCTATGTCTTTTAGATCACAAGATCTTTCTAGGTCATCAGGCCATCTCACATTCTCTTTTTAGCCATTTCACCATAAAATGTCATTATTACTCATGTAAACATAAACTCTATATCAAGAAACTAAAAAAATCAACTAAAATTATTTTAAATATCTGCAAGACATGATCCGTCTCTAAAGGAGTAACTTGTTTTCCTTCCTTTTTTTACAGGGTCATTTGGCTCAGACACCAACACCACCTTTGGTAACTATGTCATTCAATTTTTTTTTATAAACATCTCATATAGTAAATTTACTTTAACACTCTTCTCATTACCTTAGGCCATTTGGACAGCAGTAAATCCAAACCACAAGCAATTTATGTGTATCATATTTTTCTTTCCTTGGGAATTGCTAAAAGGAAAAATAAACAACTTTTTTTTTCCTTTTAGGAGAGCAGTGAGTCATCAGAAGAAAGTAAAGTTAGCTCCGAAGAACAGGTAATTAAACAGACCTTTCTTAACTTTTCAGGCTACTTAGGAATCCAAGGAAATGATGTTAGATTAAATTACCTGCAACCATTCTAAGTGTAATATTTTCTAACCATTGGTTATGCTAGCTAAATCATCCCATAAAGTAAGAAGAGAAAGATGAGTGGGAGAATTCAGATGTGGACATGCTGTTCATTCCATATTTATCACTGGGGCCAGATTATAGACATTGTGGCCCCAGATGTCCTCTAGTTAAAAAGAACACACACACACACACACACTCACACACACACAAATGGTCCTAGACTCTGTTAGACAAGTAATATCTCATTTATCACTCTAAAATGTTGCTTTTACAATTGGAGCAGTTCAGATTAGACAGAGAAAGCTTCCTGGCTAACATGAAGTACCTGCTGGGCCTAGAGATCTCCTCCATGTCAAGGATCTTGTTGGAGCAGAGAATAGGAAAGCCCTGAAGAAACTTTAGTGAAACAGTGTCTTTTGTAATGATTTTTTTTATGAGACTTTTTTTTAATGAGACTTTAAAACAGTCTCAGTGGTGGGCGCCTGGGTGGCTCAGATGGTTAAGCGTCTGCCTTCGGCTCAGGTCATGGTCCCAGGGTCCTGGGATCGAGTTCCGCATCGGGCTCCCTGCTCCTTGGGAGCCTGCTTCTTCTCCCTCTTCTTCTCTCTCTCTCTCTCTCTCCCTCTCTCTCTCTCCCTCTGTCTCTCATGAATAAATAATTAAAATCTTTAAAAAAAAGATAAAAAATAAAAAAAAATTAAAAAAAACAGTCTCAGTGGTGACCCTCGTAATAAGAAAAGCTGACTTATAATCCTTTAAGAAAAAAATTGGTTTTCTTTCTCTTATGTGTGCATTTTTTTTTTTT